AAGACTCCCGAAGAGATTGAGGGCATGAAAGAATTTCCCTATGCCTCAGCCGTAGGGAGCATCATGTATGCCTTGCTGTGCATTTGTCCTAACATTTCTCAGGCAGTGAGTATGGTAAGCAGATACCAATCTAACCCAGGGTAGGAACATTGGACTGTTGTGAAAAACATACTAAAGTACCTTCGAAGAACAAAAGAGTTTTTATTGGTATTCAATGGTAATTCACTAAAGATCTAGGGGTATACTGATACCGATTTCCAGTCAGATCTAGATGATAGAAAGTTTACATCTGTCTATATCTTCACAATAGGATCGTGTGCTATTTATTGGAAAAGCAGCAAATAGGAGTCCACAATGGATTCCACAACTGAAGCCGAATACATTATCACAAGTGGAGCCGCCAAAGAAGCCGTATGGATGAAGGAGTTCATTCAGGAATTGGGAGTAGTTCAATCCAGCACATCACCCATTCCATTGTTGTGTGACAATACTGGAGCCATTGCTCAGGCTAAGGAGCCACGAGCCTATTTGATGTCGAAGTACCTCGAAAGGAAGTACCTTGTATTGCGGGAGATAATTGGAAAAGGGGACGTCCTAATTCAGAAGGTAGCATTAGAGGAAAATGTAGCAGACCCATTGACTAAGCCACTAACACAAAAAGTGTTTGAGAAACACGTGAAAAGCATGGGACTCCGACTTGTACTCGATTTGACCTAAGTGCAAGTGGGAGCTATAAGACAGTGTATGCCCTTAGCTTCAATCAGAATGATGTACATTATGATATTTAATGTAAATAAATAAAGTACATATTTGATTCATGTTATTATAGTGTGTTTCTGTGTAATACCCTTAAACTGGACACATATGAGACTCGTGTTAGTTTAGAATCTTCACAATCGTTAGATAGATCTGGGGAGATTTATCCTGCCAAGGCTGAAACTAATGTGTTACCAAGTTGGTTGGGTGGCTTGTCTCAGCTGCCAGGGTGAGACTTGAGGTACATGCAATGTGGGTTTTCTTGAAACCCTGAACCAAACCAGAATTCCAGTATTGCCCTAGACCTTGGAGATAGATGGGCAAAACTGGAATGTTACACCTGACCCCTAGACTCGATTATGAACTAGGTATGTTGGGACAGTCCGAGAATTCATCTGAGTGGGTGATCATAGTGATAGGATCAGCCCCTTTGTCAAACAAAGTGAATGATCAAGGAAGCACTTTCTCTGGTGGAAACCTAAATGGCTGGTAATTGATTTCAATCGTGGAAATTTGTTTTGCAAAATATATTTATATAGATATATATATTATGGTTTCAAAATGTTTGCAAAAGGTTTTAATTCCCGGGATCCATGTGAGTAGAGAGTGCAGCACTGTACCTTGCAGCCGAGGGAGAGGTCCTCTCTTGTTGGGCAATGTTTGATCATTATGGGCTGAGAGGTTAAGTGTAAGACCATTGAGGGTAATACCTGATGGGCTAATCTTGCATCTGCTCACAATCCTTGGGTTTTTATAAGGTGGCTTGACCCAAGGACCATTTAGTGTAAATGTTGGGCCCATTAAGAGCCCATGGTGGACTCAGGGGTTCACTATTTCCTATAGTGAGTTCGGCTAGGCCTTGTAATAGAGGCTGGGCTGAACCCATGTGACTGATGTGTAGATCAATGTTTGGGTCCCATGCCATACAAGGATAGCCAACTAGGCAGCAGTTAAGAGGTTAAGTGAGCACATAAGACTTAATGGGCCTAAAGCCTGATTTGAACTGGTTTAATAAGCTTAATTAAAAGAGGGTGTTCTGGGATTTAGATAAGCATATAGGATAAGGGATTATCCCTATCCACTCAAAGAGTCCAAATCCAAATAAATATTTTGATCGGGAAACTCCTAATTAGATTAAGAAGGCTGATCTTTATCTGCAGATAAGATAAGGGATTATTTTTATCTCTTAAAGAGAGTTCAGATCCAAATACAAGATTTGGATGAGGAAACTCCTAATAGGATTAGGAAATGCTCTCTTTAAAGGCTATAAATAGAGGAACAGGGCAAACCTCCAAGATACAATACTCAGTTCGTAGATTACAAAGAGAGAAGAATCTACTGTTTGACTGCTCCTATCTTCTAGTCTTTCTTGCTCTTGCCGCCCCTGTCAATTTGATCTCCACCTGTGGGAGTGATCAAGAAAGGTTCTTGATATTACCTTTTGTCATAAAAGGTAATTTGAAGTCATACTCACCAACCCTCCATCACATTCTTGTTGAAGAATTTGGTTCTTGTTGAAGAGCCATCTTGTTGATTCTGCTCCACCTTACACTGTGTCATCTTCAGTGAGAGCAGTCTTTGGTTTTCTCTTTGGGCGTGAACACCTTCGTTGGGAGTTATTGTTACTCTGTATCAGGTATATCCCTCTCCTACCTTCTGGTTTCATATCTAGTCTAGTTTGGTTTCAAGATTGATCCTTGAAAATGCAGTTTTCTAAAGTAGGGAATGTGATTCCCGCATAGGAGAGAGAAATTTTTGAAATTTCGCCCAACCTTCCTACAAAGTTCGTTCATCCATATGATGGATCTCTCATCCCTTCAAAGGCATCCTAGGTGACAATTGAAAAAAGTAGAACCTGCTATCTCCCATGCTGTTTGGCAAATTGAGTCAACGGGCCCATGAAATGTGCCAAAAGAGAAGCCCTTTCAAATGTGCACTTTGCAAGAAAGAAATGGGGGAAAACTTTCATCTTGCCAAAAGATTTAATGAAAAGATGAATGAGAGAAAATTACCTATGATGCCCCACAAAAGCTAGATAAAGAGACCTATCCTAAGGGAAAGTCCAAACCAATATGTAGAGATTATATATGATAGAACAAGCATTCATCCAAGAAAGGATTCTCCCCTCTGTACTCCCCACCCTTAAGCTAGCTAGACCATCTGCTAAGGATTTATCCTTTCTCTGTATCAGCCTGAACAGTGAACCGGATGTTTATATTAGAAGCCACATTCTAGCCTTTTCTACAAAATGTCCAAATCACCATGGACTGTCACAACCATCTATAAGCAAGCTGATAACCACTTGAGAATAACCCTAGTACTGAACTCCTAGAACTGGGGATGCAAGTAGACTGGATCCAATTTGAATTGGAGTATATCCAAAGCTGATCCAAGAAGAATCTGAGATGCATAAATTTAAATAAGTATTGGACAGAAATGTAACGAGACCTTTTCATTAACATATCTGGATATCTGATTAGAATCAGTAAATTTGTAAATGTGTATGCATGTTTGTGAATTCAATCCGGTTAATAAACAGATCATATTTTGAAATCCGATTCAATCCAATTATGAACAAACAGATAAGTAAACCTGAACTAGATGAATCAGTTTCAATTTCAAATTGGATTAAATCCCGTCCATTCGCAGCTCTACCTAGAACTGACAAAAGGAAGAGTCCTTGGGCAACACCTTTACCTTAGCATGGAATTCTTTTCTTTTCCTCGGAATGGGCTAACCATGTAAAAGACCTAGGGACAGAATGAACTGTCCATTGATTTTAAAACCACATAACATAGAAATGTATGCGAGCCCACAATCTAAAAATGTAGTTCTCTAATGTTTATAATTTCTAACCTCAGTATGGCATAATTATATTGCAGACTCCTACTATTAAGTTCTAGTTCGGTCATTCAACTCTTATGTATAGTAATGGAAGGCTTGTGCCATGCAAGTAAATGGAAAAATAAGTAGAAAAGTAGATAAATAACAAAGAGAATAATTAAACTTAAAAGTCTCAGTTAGCAGGCATGACAATGTGGGTTCAATTCTCTGAGAAGCCACTTGGTGCTCGAAATACAGGAGGTTAGGTCTGCCTATTGGGAAGAAAATTGGCATAAGGCATTGAAACTTTTCTTTTTTTTTTTATTTGGTGATCATCATCATCATCATCTTCATTAAGGCAATGAAACTTTTGTGTGAACTTACAACGTCGAGTGAGATGAGAACTAAGGTAATGTTTTCCTGCAGCATTGGGAAAAATGGAATCCATGTTTCTATATGTTGAACTTTGTCCAACATACAGCTCTTCAATCCTAAACCCCATTGATCTTTTAACCTGTTCTTTACTGTATTCTTCTTCTAGCCTTCATCTTTATTTCAGATTGTCCCCACTACCATCATCTTCTTGGTTTCAAACACCACTCTTAAATTTACTTTGCTCTTGTAACGATCACTTGGCGATCACACCCTACTTCCTTAGAATCGAAATCTTTCACTTGCACCCCTGTTAGCTATAGCACATCTTAAAATACAGAGAAGGAAATATCTTCCAAGAGGAGATATATATCAAGGCAGAGTTATTTACCCATATCACATTTACCCATGTTCTTTTATTTCTCAGGTGAATAAGACAATGATGGTTTTAACCATAAAAATCCGTTACTAAAAAGGCATTTTCATCCCATCCAAGTGTTGGCAAATTTCTCATGTGGGAAATTTATTTACCCACCTGATGGTACCAGGAAAATAAATTTCCCTGGTCCCAATGGAAATAGAACATGGGCTTCTTAACCAACTTTCCCCCTCTCAAAATCAATGCCCCCAATCGGTAGCCTTAACCAAAGAGAAGATTGTTAGATAATGCCAAAAACAATGGAGTAAAAAGATCATAAAAAAGGCAGATAGTAGATCCCACTTTGTGAAACAGTGAACAAATGCAAAGAGGACCTGCTTAACAGTGACTGAGTTATGTGAGAAGGAAAGGAAAGTTCTGTTTTCATCCCCCAGAATTAAAGAACTGAGAGCAATTATCAGTAACAACAAACGTTGGAGAATTCACAAACCCAGTTGCAATTCAAGGTAGTAAATAGCTCCTATCAAGGGTCTGAGAAATTAATGGAGTGTGCACCAATCTAAAATGTAGCTGTTGCTCCTCGGCATTAAAACATCTGACAACTGTAATATGATATTTCCATGTACAAGTTATTGAAGGAATGAAGAACGAAATAAAAAAGCAGACATACCAGAAGATGCGGCAGTTATAACGTCGTTCTTCGAATCTCTGGTGTGAAGGACCATCCTTGTTTTATAATGAGAATTCTTGGCATAAAAATCAGAGACTGCCATGGAAATGCAGCTCTGCGCCATCTTTCCAACTTGTGAATTCAAATCAAGAACCACTCCAACATGAACCGAGACATTTGCACTGAAGCTTCTATTGTGAGCACCCGTGGCAAAGCAGAGTGACAAAGAGAAGAAACCAAAGAGAAGAAGATGTCTCATGCTCACCATTTCAGTGTCTCTCGGACTCATCAAAAGGTTCACTGATATTTAACATCTAATAAACTGTCCAATGTCTTAGCATGCAGTTGCACTTTCCAGGAATCTGGAGTTTTCTTCAAGCCAATAGGAACATAATAAATCAACTAAGCAGTCTCGGTGAAACATTCCAATGGAATGGTTATTGTGCAGAATTAGTGTTGTATTGGTCGTAGACCTGAGTTTGTTATGAGACGTATTTGACAGGGTCTATTAATTTGACCATGTACAACGCGTTGGACCTTCGGGGCGAGTTGAACTTCCATGACGTACGTATTTTAGGGGCAACATGAGAATGGACACGAATGTTATATGCAATTTACAAGAATGGACACGAATGTTAATCGGCAATTTCTACCCTACCTCCCTCATGGGACGAATGGGTTTTGATCAGGTAGGAACGGATTTGGATTTTGACTTTAACGATATCTGATATTTGATATTCGGTTTTATTTTATGCTCGTACCCATTCCAATACCCAATAATAAACCCGATTATAATTATAAGAAACAAAATATGTGATAGAGTGTAATATAATGTAATATAATTTATAATATATAATATCTTAAGAGAAAGAGAAAATCTATGGCCTGACGTTCCTAATTGGTTAATTTGCAAGTTTGGTGTATTTGGTTAGGTGAATTGCTTGTTTATAAAGTTTAAAGTTTTATTTGTTAATTTTAAAATTCTATTAACACAATTTTTATTAAATTTAAATGAATTTTAAATTAATATAATTAAGATTTAAGATTGTAAAATACAAATGGTATCTTTTTGTCTAAATTCAAATTAAGAATCAATTGGTTTAGGTTAATTTAAGTCCAATTCAAACAATATTTCTAGGTGAAATATTTGTCTATGAATTTTAATTTTTTACCAATTAATTTTAAAAATTTATTGATGTAAGTATTTCTAAATTTAACTGGACTTTAAATTAATGTTATTAAGTCTTGGGATTGCAAATGCTATCTATTTGTCTGAATTTAGATTGAGACTCAATTGGTCTGAGTAAATCCAAGTCCAATCCAAGCATTATTTTTAGGTGACATACTTGTTAATGAATTTTAAATATTTGTAGTTATTTTTAAAATTTATTGTTGTAATTAAGATTGCAAATGGTATCTATTTGTCAAAATTCAAATTCAAACTCAATAAAATATCTATATATATAGGCTCTTCTTTTATAGATAATTCAGTGTACATTTGTTCAGTTGAGGATGATGTTCTAGTGGAGGATTACAAGGCAAGAAGATTTCTTGAAAGAGCAATTCTCCCATGTCACTTAATTTTATTTATTTTTTATTTATACTATTTTATTTTGTTCTTTTATATGAAAACATTCTATGTAATGTTGGTTCTTGTTGAATGTTGTTGGTTGATATTGAATTTGGAAAAAAGTTTAACTTGATTATTTGGTAATCAGGTAAGACAGGTTGAGATGGTTTTAATGGGTTTAAAAGGGACAGGTTTGGAAAATTGGGAGGAAAAATTAAATGGGTTTGGGATAGGTTTAGGATCAAGGGCACCTAGGCTAGATCGGGAATGGGTAGGACAATTTGCATGGGTACCCTATCTATTGCCATTCCTAGGTTTGAGAAAGTGTGGACTCGATCCGAAAATATGTAGATAAAATCTCGAATATAGGGTCTATTATTAAGGCTACAACTTGGGCCGAGTTGGCCCAAAGCCAACCCTAACCCAACTCAAAAAAGTCGGATTGTGTTGCTTTGGGTTGATGCTTGGGTTAGGGTTGAAATCTATGAACTTGACTTTACTTCGGGTTGGGTTAGTGTTGACTCCTATTAGGCAACCCGACCCAACTCGAATCCGATTCTATAGTAAATGTCATATATATAATACATCATGCATTGATTTTAAGTATGTATAGTGCAGCCTAACTCAACTTGAACCCGACTCTATAGTAAAACTGAGTAGTTCTATGAGATTTTAAGGGATGGGAAGAAGGTTGGGTTGGGCCCAGCCTAACCCAAAGTTGACTTCAAGTTGGATTGGGTTGGGTTAGGATTGAAGAAATTTAATTAGGATTAGGGTTAGGGTTGGGGGTTTAAAAGTTAGGGTTGGCCTCTAGTCGGCCTAATCCGGCCCGACTTGCAAACCTATCTATTATGTGGCATGGTTCAAAAACCACTGTTGACCCAGGTGATTGAACGGTTCGACCTGTCATGGTTTAAAATTGTCATTCGACTGAGGCAGTTGAACTGTTAATAATAATCATTCCATATATCTGTTATTTCCATCTGTTTAATGCTGTATTTATTGTTAAATTCTTTTTTTTTTTGTAGTAATAAAAAAATTGCCATATTTATGATTAAATTATTGTCACTTGAATCATTTCTTAATATTTTTACCCATGTTTTATTAGAACAAGAGTCCAGATCTCCTCTACACAAACTCTGCCTACGTCTACCCATATAACACCGCAATTACATATGGAGAACATTTCATCCTCTTACATATTATTATATATATGGAGAAATGTTCCCAATTCACAAAAGTAGTGTTATGTTGATAAACATGGGCAGGAGTCCCGGAGTCGATTTACCCTACCCATTTATAATCGAAACATATAATGTAAAGCAAGACGTTATTTCCATTCGGGTTTATCAGATCTACCCGACTCATTGACAGAAACACACATCTATATCCTCTTTAATATAGACACTGATCGTAATTATAATAAATGGAATTTGTAAATAATTATAATAAATGGATATTTGTTTTACAAGTTCATGTAAAACAAATAGGATGAATTTTGATTTACAAGTGTAAAAATCTTTTATGAGATCAATGAATAGTGATTTGTATTCAAGACTCCTACCTCTTTCTGATGGGAAATGTTCAATCCCCTATCAAAAGTAATAAATTAATGTTGGTGAGGACTTGCGAATTCCGGTCTCGTTCAATTTGAAAGTCATCTTAGAATTTTGGGTTTGAAGCTTTTAACGTTTTCTTCACTCACCTGAAAATAAAAGGGTTAGGCAATTGATTTCGAAATGACAGGTTTGAAAATTTTGATTAGGATAAGTTTTATTTATTTATTTATATATTTTCTGGATAAATCCTAAAATTACCATTCAACCAAAATATTGAGATCAAATCAGCCTCCTAACACATCTCTGCCATGTATTGGGAACATCTCCTGATGTTCTTGCCATGTATTAGAAACATCTCCCGATAACATTATCATTTCTGGTCAGGAGATGTTCCCAGTACACCCTAGGGATGTATTGTGGGATATTGTGGGAGGCAATCTTGTGGGGGGCTGATTTAAACTCCAAAATATTTGAGTGAAGCTCATGGAGGTGAACCAAAAAATTAACCTCTCTATTCAAAGTTTGGGCCCTCTTCACCCTTTTATGGGCCAACCTGTTCCTAAGCCTATAAATATATTTGAAGTTCACCAAAAAATTAATAAAAATATATATGGTCCACCAACTGCCATAATTGTGGGACAACCTCCATCTTCCCAGAATTCAAAATCTCTGCAGCAAGAAAACCAAAAAGCATTCTTGATAGAAAGGATGGTGGAGAAGATGTCGAGGTCAAGTGGAAGACAATATTCATAAAACAAAGAAATTGTCCTAACTACATTTTGGATTGAGTTGGGGTGAAGCTGGTCTATGGTAATGTTAAAATGGTTTAAAACCTCCACTATCAAAGGATGCAGAGGAAGATGAAGGCCAGCAATGAGTTGTTCCTTGAAGATCACGATCTCATCATGACCGTGTTCCCAAGGATAGTTATCGGATGGGAGATTGTAGATGAGGTTTCTAGGAAGGTTGAATTGGAGGACCAAGGTCCTAAGTCTCTCCATCGACATGGAGGAAGGACCAAAGTTGTCCGGCTCCCTACCCCGAGAAGTGGAAGCCATTTCGCCGGAGGCCTCCCGAGCCTCCGGAGCCTACCCCCAAGCTCCCCCTGAGCTCGAAGGGGCATCATCTTGGTTACCGCCCCGAGGAAAGACATTGTACGAGTACCCAGACATTGCTAACAAAGCAAGAGGACTCACCAGGAAAAAAGCTTAACCGAAAGGACGGTGTGAACAAGAGAAGAGCTCGAGTAGCTAGGTAAAGGCGCGCCCTCAAATCCGAAAGCAAGGCAAGTTGGCATAAAGGAAATGAGGCCTGGGGCCCTCCTATTTATAGCCACTATGCCCACAAATCGACGGCTCAAATTAAGGCAAATCTGACGGTTCGTAATCAAGCTAACCGCACGTCTTCTAAAACTGAAATATGACTGGCTGCACGTCTTCCATGATTAAGGTAATGCCGGATCCACGTCTTCCGAAACTGAGAGCCATTTTGGCGTGCTTTTTGGCGCCTGAAAAGTCAAGAAATTGCCTGACATCCGCATGCGTATTTAATGTGATTGGTCAATCAAGCTTGAATTTCAGGTCAAATCCACCCGTCACACTCCATGAACTTCTCGCGCTAGGGTAGAATCCTTAGCCCAAGGAGTGGGGGGCAATTGATAGAGGGTGATTTGACCCGACCTCATAAGAAGGCGACACGTGGACGTGACTCAACATAAGCAATAGCTCAGCATGACAGTCTGGCTACAACTAAGTAACGAGCTCGTTAAGGTCTTCGCAGGTCAGCTCGGTACATTACAGCTCGCCACGGAACGAGCTCGCTACAACGCAAGCTCAAGAACCCTAGTATGATGAAAGGGAATACTCCAAGCCAAGTCTATCTCACCTCGCAAGCAGAGAGAATCAGCTCACTCCAATACTTAGGCAAGAAGACTGTCCCAAAGGCGACCTAAGGTGGAATCACCTCGGGATACCTTCAGGAGCTCGCTACAAGGCAGCTCGCTATGGGATAGCTCACTACAAGGCAGCTCGCTATTGAGCGACACAGCGTTTTTAGGAAGCTTCTTATCTGACGAGACCGTACCCATCAGACTGCACCACATCTCCTGACTGATGGCGCAGTCCCTATCAACCCAGTAGA